GAACAACCAGATATCATACGGGTCCTAGCTCCTGTGCTGAAAAAGGTTCATAACCATGCTTTTCCAACAAGGCCAGGCAGAGCCTATTTCTACTGTCCATTCACCCACAGATTATATTGCAAAGCTCACTATGTGAATAGTAATAGAAATATTTCATCTTAGAAAATGACAGACAGTAAGACTTCAGTATTGGAGTAACATTTATGTCACAAGGAAAAGCAGTAGTCTCTTCATCTCACAATATTGTCTCATGTTTTCTTTCTTTATTGCCTTTTCTTGCATAAACCTGTTACGAAGTTGTTTTGCATGTTGCAGAATTAAGTTTGGTGGATTCTCTTTGGACCCTGTGCACGGCTTGTACAACACATGCAGTCATCTGTTGTCTGTTGCAGCCATGTCAAGCCAAGTCTCCTTTTTGTACGCCAAGCTTGAAATCTCAATAACTTTGAGTCGATCTGTTGGGCCTATTTATTTGAGCTGGAAACCTGTTTCCAGTGCAAAACTGGCGTTGCGCTGGAAATCGTGAGCGCCGCTGCGGTGCGGCAGTGGATGATGTTTGTTTGTTTGCCCTCTCGTAAATAGGGCAGATGGTCAATGTTGTGTAAATGTTCTTGTCAGCTCATGGAGATATTTTCATTGTATAGATCGGTTATCTGATCACTCCACTGGTGGCTCTGCTGTCTGCAATCATTCCAGTGATGGCGACACTGATGATGTAGACCTAGTAATATTTTATTACAAATATTATTTCCGCCCTGCTGGGGGATCTGGGGTTTGGCTGGGGGAAGATGCCCCAGTGGGATTAAGAAGGTCTTCAACTCACCAACCCACAACGTCAGTTGTGGGACGTGAGTTGAGGTCAACAGCACACCTTTGGGTAAACACATATGGACACTCTTATGCCTGAACGTGGTGTTCACTATGGACAATCCGTGCCGAGGACAGAAATCCAATCCAAAAACACAGAGGTTGGGGTTGGTATAGTGATGAGTGTCCCCAGCTGTTACACGGGAGACAGTAGCTCGATTCCCTGCTGGGGAGATACACATGTATATATTTTACTCTGTAAGTCGCTTTGGATAAAAGTTTCTGCTAAATGCATAAACAAAACAGTATTCGGGCTCAAGCTATATAAAAGGTAAGCTGGGGTAGTTGGGAAGAATGGCCGCCCATCTTATGTTTTATGTCGCTTCATAATTGTTTTTAGTATCTGACCTAAGTTCCAGACGGGAATAATTTAAATTTGAAATTATTCTTCATCTGTTTTTATCTTAATAATACTTGGCTTTCCTTGATAACAGTACCCAGAAATCAGTTCTTTATAATGCCAATTGCCCGAGTTGCATGTGTGTGAAGGTAATTTAGACGAGCAAATCATTCCAGCACTGACAAGGGGATTTATACACCTGATCATGATCAAAGTCAGTAATTTACAAAGGATTTATGGATGAAAATGTATAATGACAAGAGAGCAAAGGAAGACAAGATAAATCTCTTTCCTCAAGTCTGCTCATCCTTCATATAGCTCATATCATGACACATTTACAGCATGTGTTAAGTATTACAATAAAACTACAAGAGCTCTGAGCAATATATATCATCTAACTTTCATACAAACTAATTTCAAATGCAGTAGGTCTCTTGATGTCAACATTTCTCCTCAACAATGTTGTGTGCAAAGATGATTAATGCAATCAGCTTGTCTCCCTAATCACATTATTCTGTTTTCAAATTCATTATTATTCAGTAGGAAATTATATCTGATTTAGATTTGACTAGATTATAGTCTTTTGGATTAAATTGGATTTCTATTGGACATGGGGTGTGTCAACTAGTATGCAATCAATGAAAATCTAACTTCTCAGAGTGAAATTAACACAAACAGATAACGTGCTTGTAAATTGAAATAATCCCACACGCATGTTCAACTGGATTTGCCACACGACCCACAGTTTGGGCCTCTTAGACTGAAGAATAAAGTAACAGCCAGCAATAAAAAAAAAAGAAGTAACAGTTTACATTAGTATCACCAAATTCCAAATAAAACTGCCTTTAATTGCATTTTTTTGTCAGATTTCTTTTTTTACTTTTTTCTGGACTTTGATAAAGTTTTGAAAAGAGCAGTTTATCACAACACGGATGTCCTGATGCGGTCCTTTGTGGGTGCTCTCCAGCAGGTTTTAGTTTAGTTTAAGTTTATTCTGATTAAATATGTTTTCAAAAGATTGTTAAGTTCTACACAGTCCAGCTAACGGTGTATTAAGGTGAATAGGCGTGATGCAGCAGGAAAACATGCAGGACACCGGCCCCCTGAGGACATTATATGGAAACGCCTACATCCTATATACATTTTAGCTACTGATACTCAGGATAAAAAAATCTGAAATAGGGAAAGTGGTGGCATCATAGGTGAACTGTCCTACCAATGACTTCTACATCACTGTTTCTCCAAAACATAAAAGGGGGATGAAAAACCACAACATATTAATCAATTTACGTCTCTGGAATTCTTGAAATCTGAGTTAAATAAATACCAAAACATTCGCTATGCTTGAATGGCCCTTGTGTCTTATTTTTTTACAATCTGAGCGTTTTTAATGTTGTCTGCTTAAGTTAATGTATTAACTATTCAAGCTCATTAAACTTAACCCCTCTTCTTTTTTTTTGGTCCGCCCGCTGTAACCATTAGGCTACGCTGCGGCCCAAACTTAACCCCACTTCTAAAAAAAAAAGAAGAAAGAAAACCGTTCTGCATAAGATGAGTAAATATTAAGCTAATATTTCTGTTGTAAATGTACCAAGAGGCTTTTTGCATTTTACAATTTCCCTTTGTGCTTTCTTTTATAAAAGAAAAACGATGTGTTATAAAAAGATTTGGTTTGATTAAGTTTAATTTAAAAAAATGTTTTTTAGGCTGCAGATGGTATGAACGTCTGTTTAAGCACAGCAGAGATTAAACTTGGTATACAAATTACACATCTATTACGAACATGTAATAACTTACTTTTGGTCTCCATGAAAAACACAGACACAAACTATAGTTCATTTTAATTCAGTTAAATGTTGTTCACATAATTCCATATCAAAACAAAAGTCTTTTCTAAGCACTGCAGAAGTACAGTCTGTCCAACTTCTCGTGATAAAATTAAAATCCAATCACTTCATGTTTTTTCGGTTTTAAATATATCCATTTTATACAGCGCCAATTACAGAAAAGACCTGTTGACTGTAAGGTTTCTTGCTCTGTAAACTCGGAAATTGCAACAGATTTTCGATCAAACCCCCCCATCGTGATCAACCTTGGAAAGAAAAAAACTCCCTTTTGACAAGACGAAACCTATTCCAGAAAACCAAACTCACAGGATACCTGATGAGAAGCAGCAGATCTACAACATCTTTATTGATATACAAAGTGGAAAATAAATATATATATATATTGCGGCTGCTCCTTTTACCATTTGGTTTGATTTGATTTTGGTCATTATTTTAAGCTATATATATATTTTTTTTTGCTTTATAGTCATTTTTTTAGTGCTGTAACGATTGCAATGTGATGGTGCATTTAAGATTATAGTTTTTAGGTCTGTGCTTCATCTGAAATAACCTGCAGTGTGTAACTCTGGATCAACGCCTCGGTTCGGCTATCTCTGTGGATTGTATGACTCTGCGCTTACCATCCACTTGGATTAAATTGCAGTGCGTTACTCCGGATCATCACCTTGCTTTGGTTGTCTGTGTGGATTGTACGACTTTGTGCTTGCAATGCACAACAGAGTTCTATTTGCTCTGGCCTTATCACTGTGCACTTACCGACCATGGCGCTAAGGTAAACTACACGCCAGCTGTTGAGTTTAAGACAGAACTACACAGCAAAATCAGCAGTGCTAATTCAACACCTACAGAGTTAAATTCAACATGTGTCTATATTGGTCCACACTAGATAGACTTAAAACTACACTTTTGACAGTGTTAAATACATAACACTATGACAGAGTTCCAGCAACTCTCTAAATAGTTAACATTTAACACTAGTCAACACTGGTTTATGTTGAATTTATCCCACACCAATGCGTATTGTCAAATGTGTGTTCTTCTTTCAACACTACAGAGTTGTTGCCATATTAACACTACAAAGGATGTAACGTTTTACATAAAATGCAACTTGATCTGTATTAATCTGTAAAACTTTTGGGAATCAATTTAACACACCCACCCCACACAGTAAAATACTTTACAAAACAGACAAAAACAGGGAAATTGTAGTTCAAGTGAAACTGTGTTAAATAAAGCACACCATCTACAAAAAAGCATTGGCCTTACATTAACAATGGACAATCAATCCTTTACTCTTGGACTTACCTTGGCACTTCCCACATCGACGTTAAGCACCGTGGTTTGCATGAATGTGTAGAAGCTGTTCAAGTAGTTAACACTGAAGATTAAATGTGCCTTGAAAAGCTCGTCGAAAGCTGCCAGGGATGTTTGCGCCTTGCAAAGGATGGCCTTCTGGTCAACAATGACATAGAACCTCTGAATGTTGTTTTTCTGTTCACCAACACAAAGGAGGAAGGGCTGTACTGGTTCCAGGCTCCCTAGGAAGGTCTCTACACTTGCTCCAAACTATGACAAACACAAAGACAGAAAATATTAAAACAATGTATGCAACACAAGCAGCAGCAGTATGAGAACGACTGGATAAAAAACATTAAACATGGAATACCTTGAGATAACTCAACACATGGTTGACAGCTTGACATGAGCTGATTTTAGCACTCTTCTTGTGGCCTTTTGATGTAGGGGCGAGCAGGTGAACCAGAAGTAGAATGCTTGACAGGCCACTGTCCCATCCTAGGAGCGAAGTAGAATAAAGTGTAAGATTTTCAGAAACATTTATATCATAAAATATTATCTTAAAAATGACAGATTATGCCAAAGACAAGACTTACGATAAGAAGATAGGAATCTGTAAATGTTTTAAAGACAGAATGAGGCAGACTTACCAGACTCATTTGAGTTTTGCTGCACAGACAAAAGTTATTTAACATGCTCATTATAAGTCCGGTTCTTGCAGTCTGCCAGGAGCTTGGGTCTGAAGTACATTGGCCGTTTTGACAAAAATCTGCCAGAAACCTCTTCTCAGAACATCATGGTGAAATCTTGGTCAATCTACAGAAGAAACGCCTTAAGTCCTTGATACTAAAAGTATATTGAGTCATAATTGTTCCCTTCAAAAATAAGCTGTTCAAAGATATGTCTTTCTTACCAAGCCGGGGATGTCAAGAAACTGCGGGACCACATCGAAGACTGTTGCAGAGTTTTGCTGGTCCTGAACTAACGTCTGACGGTATTGAAATGTTGCGATCATCTTATCTTTAACAACTGACACATCAGCTGAATGTTTCATTAAGGATATTGCCTCATGAACAGTTGCTTGTCAGCCAGGAGAAAATCCCTCTAGCTCTGTGGACCATACGTAGTGATTGTGGAGCATCTTCAGGATTTAACTGCAGCTATACACTGGATGGTCTTTGTAAAGAAAAACAGGACATTCAGAAACATAATGAATAAGAAAATGTGCACGTTACCGTGACAAGCACCAACACAAAGAGGAGGTTAAGCTAATGGAGGGAAGTGAGAAAAGTTAACATAATGTTTACATTAGCATTTCATAACATTTGCCTTGGAAATGTGACAAACCTAAACATAAACCTGTACATTTTATTTAAAGTTACACAAAATCTAACACTTTTGTATTATTGCCAAGCCAAAGACCCTTACAATCTATCATGACGCTGGACTGCTACGTCCTAAGCGATTTAGCCATCGGGGTTTGAGAAGCAGTCTTGCCGTCTCATCTTCTCCCAACATCTATGTGCCTACCTATTGATGTGAGACTAACAAGCTGCTCCTTGCTGGTGTTGTTCACAGTAATTTAATATTGGTTCCCCGCATGCAGATTAAACCTCTGTCATCTCCGCTTCAGAGCCAGGCTCCTGCTGCTTTATTCAATGCGTGGTCTGTGAACAACAAAGCACTGCTTTTATAGGATTTTCTTACAGATAAAAAGCTGGACTTCTTGTTCCTAACTGAAACCTGGCATAAAGAAAATGATGGGCTCCTGTTTAACCAGATCACTCAAGCTTTGGAGTATTAGATCTTCTGAAGCTATCTGGCAGGGGTGGAGGAATTATTGTGGTTTACAACCTGAAGTTGAACAAAAGCTCTGTGACTGTTCCCCAGTTTTCATCATTTGAATACCTTTTATTGAGCATCTCATCTCCTGTTTCCACATTCATCGTGCAGATTTTATTTCAGTTTCATTTCAGAGACTTTCTGTCGATTTTGACTATGCATTTAGACAAATTTCTAATTGTGGGAGACTTCAACATTCATGTGACTCAGCGACGGTTAAGGAATTTCTGTTGCTAATTGATTTTTTTTAGCTTCACACAGTTTGTAATTGTTGTAATAGTGTCATGTTGCGGTCTATATTTCTAGCCCACATGCAGAACACGACTCAGGAGAGCAATAAAATATATGAATGAGTTTATTAGAACAGCTTTAGTAAATGGAGCGGGAATGACGGGTCTTGTCCAGGGGGGGAAGGGCTCTTGGAGTATCAGCACGTTGTGAGCAAGCGTTTGTTGTATTTGGAGAGTAACTGCAGGGTTCGGGGTCCTAGTTTCCCTGTGGTCCTGGAGGTACTGCGCTTAGCCACAGAAATCCAGAAGGTAATGAAGCAGTGCGTCGGGGGGCGGACAGGTAGGTTCAGGCCAAACGGAAACAGAGAAGCGGGTCGACTCCAGTGGGGAGATCCAGGAGGAACTTGCGTTTAGTGATGTGTCCCTTCGTATCGAGGCTTCGAAGCGCGTGTCGAGAAATCCTGGATGATTTCTGTGAAGCGCGTATCGGAGCTTGTGTCGGTGACGTATGCGGTGACGTTTGAAGCCTCGCGAACCGGCCGCACCACGTGACTGATTCAGGAAGTGGTTCGCGGTTTGGCGATCTATTTGAAAAATAAGGGCCAGCAAAACGCAATGAATCCCCCCCTCACATTTTGTGGACTTGGGACTTAATTACGAGTTTGTGAGCGATCTATTCAAGCTTCCCTGTCATTGTATCATAAAGACAGACATCATCTAAAAGTTTATAATTCATGTATAAGCATCACAAACATCGATCCGTCCATTATGCTAACCGCCGATCCCCACGCTGTACGGTTTACATTTATTGTCCACCGGGGGCAGAACAGAGCAAATGAAGCACCCTGAAGCTTCAACACACGAGTGAACCAATTGGATGGAACGCTTCAAAGCTTTATGAAGCTTCATCTCGCCATCACTACTTGCGGTCACCAGAGGAGGTGAGTCGGGAGGGTCCAGGACTTCTCAGGGAAAACAACTGTTGCTGGCAAAAACTCAGGCATCAGAGTGGTGGTAGTCAGCTCCTCTTGTACACCTTGCCTGACGAGCAGATTGATCTCAGGTGCGCAGGATGACGACACACCACTCCAGAGAGAGGTGAATTTGGTGCTATCTGGTGGCAAGATGATGAGTAGCAGAACCTAGACTCTCACAAGGAAAACAAGGAACCCCGGAACACAACAGTACCCCCCCCCTCAACGGTCGCCACCTGGCGGCCGAGACGAGCAAGATGGGAGCGACGAGTGATAATCTGTAATGAGGGAAGGATCTAAAGTAAAAGAACCCGGGACCCAGGAGCGATCCTCCGGACCGTAGCCCTCCCAATCGACGAGGTACTGCCAACCACGACCTCGCCGACGGGAGTCCACGATCCGGCGGACGGAGTAGGCCGGATGGCCATCAACTTCTCGGGGGGGAGGAGGGGGCTCGGAAGGAGGGCCGAGCGTGCTGATCTGGACGGGCTTTATCTGAGAAACGTGGAAAGTAGGGTAAACTCGGAGGGAGGCTGGCAGACGAAGGCGAATAGCAGAGGGATTAATAATGGGTTCGACCTCAAAGGGACCGATAAAACGGGGATAGAATTTCTTGGACATGGCTTTCAAAGGAATATCTCGGGACGATAACCACACCTTCTGGCCAGGAGTGTAGGTGGGCGCTGGAACCCTTTTACGATCTGCCTGTCGTTTGTTTTGTTCGGCTGTGCTGTTAAGGTTGTGAATTGTGGCTCTCCAAACGTTCTGGCAACGACGGATATGGTGGCGGACTGAGGTTACAGAGATTTCTTCCTCTTCGGACGAAAGTAATGGGGGTTGATAACCTAGGGAGGCTTCGAAAGGGGACAAACCAGTTGCTGCAGAGATGAGGTAGTTATGTGCGTATTCGACCCATGGGAAATGCTGGCTCCAATCTGATGGATTGGAGGAGGTGAAGCAGCGGAGGGTAGTTTCTAAATCCTAATTACGTCTCTCGGAACAAAACAAATAGTTGATATTTTGCAACCTTGTTTATTCTGCCACCTTCTGTCGGATTTTTGTATTAAGGCAGTTTTACCCAGAATGCTGTTCTACTGTTGCCGGCTTTCTCTCTCAATAAAAAAAGCTGTTTTATCCAGCATGAAACTTGAACAGTAACCCGCCTGACCCATCACAAGGGTCATATGTCATACGTTTTAAATTGTGATTGCTGACGGCTCATTTGTATCGCAGTTTTCATCTATCAACATTTGACTGATCATTCAGCTGTCTTTTTTAACCTCGAACTGTATCATTCAAGTGAGCCTACTATCCGAACAGTAACCTTCCGGAAGTGGAAGTCCATTGGTCAAACAGCTTTCTCCAATTCTGTGGTTTCCATCCTAAGCAGTCTTCATCCATCATCACTGGAGGTCTATGGTCATGTAAGGTCACATTCATCCGCTCTGCTCCATGGTATACTGACAATCTGCGTTCTAGAAAGGCTTCCTTTCAGAATATGGATTTCAAATGACGCCTTATGGGACTGAGTGTCTACTACCAACAGTGGAAAGATCTTGTAGGGGTTAGAATTGGGCTTTAAATACTCACTTTAGCATAGTATGTTATAACTTAATCCATGTAAATGACTGATTGTCTTATTCCTTTTGAGATTTATATTATTCCCTTTATAATTATACTTTTGGGTTACTCTCTGGCTGTGCCTACTCCTCCTCATCCTCTCTCTGTTACAGTAGATCCACGTCTTCAAGGTCAACATTCACACACGCACTTTCCTATCACATTCTACCAAAACCTGCCTGAATTAGGGGCTGGCCTGTTCATGTCAGAGCTAACTGGCCAATAACACTCGGTTACGTCCAGCCGTCCTCCAGTTCGAGTCCCGGCCCAGAAGATAACTGTCCATCGCACCTGGAAATCGAGGCTCTTGCCAACTGCGATCCTCCGGAAACTTTGTCTGTGAGAGCCCAGCGCTGATTTACTTTGCTTGTGACCAATAAATGTCATATTTGTACTCTTGATCTGCTCTGGTTTATTTCAGGCTTCCAACTAAAGAATCGGGCTAATACTATCATGCTTTAATAGAGTCAGCGAGATTATCCTACTTTTCTCTACTGTCAATATTGATGATACTCCCCGAAACTTGTTCCAAACCATAAACTGACTGCTTCAAGTCAATCCTGTTTCCACCATGCCTGTTCTCTGAGCAGCTCTGCAATCCTTTTTGTGACGAACTGAGTCGGACCCAAAGACACCCTGAGACAGACGGTCAGTAAAGTGAAATGTATTTAACAAAAACAGGGGGAAATCCACGAGAGTCCAGAGTCTAGTCCAGAGTCAAAACCAGGGTGGAAGTTCAAGGGAGCAGGCGGGATCTCGTGGTCACAGGCAGGCGGGGTCGTAAACGGGCAGGCAGTCAGAATCGGGCAGGAGAATCAGGCGAGGGTCAGGCAGGCTCAGGAATCAGGCAGACGGATCATGCGTGGGTCAGGCAGGCTTAGGAAACAGGTAGACAGAAGGCAGGTCGAATAAACAGGCAGACGGAATGCTGGAAGTTCTCACCAAAGGCTCGATACATTCTGGCACTGGAGGCTAGCAGGAACGGAGCTTAAGAGGAGGTGGTAACAGGTGAAGGCGATGAAGGTAATTGCGGGGCGTGAAGGGGGGTATAGGGTGCAGCCGAGAGGTGGAGCCAGCTCCAGTGCCAGGAACATTACACTTTTCGACTGTTTTTTCATTAAAAAATGGTCAGTGTTAAATTTCTTTTAATCTGTCCTGTGCCACTTCTCTCCTTCACTCATCTATGTTCATAGGTGTTTCTTTCACTCATTATTCAGTGTTTGTTCCGAGGCTCTCACAAGGTATCCAGCATTATATCAACCACTTGCTTGCTGGATCCAATTCCTACTATTCTATTTAAATCATGCTTTGCTGTGTGGTGCCCTACTATCCTTAGCATTATAAATGACTCACTGGTTACAGGGCTCGTTCCAGCAGTATTGAAGACG